CCTGACCACTGGTATCCCCAGGACCTGCAGGCCCGCGCCCGCGTGCATGAGTACCTGTCATGGCAGCACACGGCTCTGCAGAGTAGCTGCTGCTGGGCCATGTGGCAGAAGGCGAGCCATGGAGGGCAGGGACACCTCCCAGGATGCCCAAGGGATGGTGCTTTCACTTTACAAAATCCTGTTTAGACCTGAGACGAAATCCTGGAATGCCAGAGACTGCCTAATTCACTCAACTTGTTTCCTAGAAGGGAAACCAAGGACCAGAGCCAAAGAATGATTCCCCTAAAGTGCCTTAAATCCTGAGCTACCACCTGCACACTTATACTCACACACTCATCGACACACAGCCACGCATATTCACACATCCACCCACATCCACACACAGTCACACGATATATCACATTCACACACATATACACCCACATACACAATCATACCATTTACACACATTCACACAGTAACACAGTTAACTCATGTACACACACATATACACCCAATGACACAATTCACTCATGTTCAATAGTCACACAACTCACTCACACTGACACACATACACACCAACCCCCTCCCAATTCACACACACACACACGTACACTCTCTCACACACATACACAATTCACACCAACAAAATCACACAATTCACTCATTCACACACATACACCCACATACACAAATTCACACTGCTCACTCACATTTACACACCATTCAAATTCACACACATATACACCAACGTACACACAGTTCACTCCCATCACACGCATATACACCCACACATAAACACACACAATTCACTCAATTCACACAATTCACTCATTCACACACACACAGTCACTGACATTCACACACATACACACGCACCACACACAGGCAATTCAGTCACACAGCTCAAAGTCAGTCCTCACCTTGCTCCGGTTCCCTTCCCAGCGTCGCCTCAGCCTTTGGCCCTCAGCGTCCCCTTCCCACGCCTGGACTGCTGGAGAGCCCTGAACACACCCCATCTTCATGCCTCCAGTGCTAGCCCAAGCACTTTCCTCTGCCAAGAGCACTAAGTGGAACTCAAGGTCACTTCTCAAGACCCTACCCTGCCCCTCCTCCTGCCAGGTGACCTGGGGATCCTGCTGGCCCCGTCTAACAATGAAGCACACCATGGTTAGTTCAGCTGACGTCGGTCTCCCAGACTTACTGCCACCTACACAGCACTGGGACTGACTGACTTTATTCTTTATTTCGTGTTTTTTATTGGAGTGTCTGTTGAAAGTAAAGCCATCCAATTAGGAACAATCCAAAGGCAGCCAGCAGGGATCAAGAAGGCACGGGCTGTGGCCGCAATCCCCAATGTCTGATGGGGAGAGGGATTGGTAATGGAAAAGGCCCAGGAAAGCAGGCCAGAGTGTCCCCCAAAGTATGAGAAATCGCTCAAGAGAGAGACATTCGGAATGGGACCTAAGACAGAAGCCACCACTAGGCACCCTTAAGGCAGGGCAGTTGCAATGGTTGCTGCTTGGAATACTTCTGGCTAGGAGTGGCACATGGTGGGCACAGGGCAGGCATGGGAAGTGGGGGCACCAAGGCCACAAGACGTGTGGGCAAGTAGCCCAGTGTGTGTGTGTGTGTGTGTGTGTGTGTGTGTGTGTGTGTGTGTGTGTGTGTGTGTGTGTGTGTGTGTGTGTGTGTAATAGCATGTTTATTGGTCAGCAGTGACATCTACTGTCACACTTGAGAACTGCATCCACAGCCAGATGGCCTCCTGTGAAGACCTCAGGGCAAACTGGGGAACCCTGCCCTTCTTGGAAGGTGATGCTAGGGGGATGAGCAACACCTTTCTTAGAGGTTTGAATTCCTCAGGGCCCCTCCAGCATCTTGGTCTTCCCAATTCCAATGTCCTCTCTTGATCCCCCAGCCCTAGGGGTAGCAGCTTCTTATAGTGTTTACCTCCGTGTTAATCTGGATTCTCTGTCTTCGGAGTTCTCTAATGCCTGGTTACCAATTCTTTATATTAAGTTCTCTCTGTTAAAATGATTGTGATGAGGTCCATCCCATGGATATACATGGAGGTCTGTGTGACAATGTACAATCCTACTATTTGCTGTTATTACAAAACTGTCCTAGAAGATATGAATGCTTGTTAAAAGAAATCTTTTAAGCTTCCTAGACTTCAAAGACCATTGCTATTCCCTGTGAAACATCCCCTACATCCTTTAATAGTTGACAATTCGAATTGGTTACTTACTTAATATTTTGTTGCCCTGGTGATACAATTATGTTGACTTGCTATTGTGAAGTTACTTTGGTTAACCATGATGAGGGTTACTAGCACCGACTTTTACTCCATATGCATAACACAACAACGTAGTAAAACCAGTAACTCTTGGTTCCCTATTCAAAGTGTTTGGGATCTTTATTATATTTAAAACACTGATGACATTTGCCAATTTTTCAGTGTTCTTCACGTTACTGATTTGTAGGAGTTTTTTATGTATTGCAGATTTAGTCTCTTACTGGTTATGTATGCTGTACCTAAGGAGAAGCAGCACTGCCAAGGACACAGTCTTGCCTGTGCAGAGCTTCACATGAAGCTGGAGACAAGGGACTGGGGCAAGACGGAAAGATAAACAGGGGCAAGTAAGTAACAGAATGAATCCTCATGGCGAATCTCCTGGGCCCCATTCCAGACCCTTCAGGGGATCCTGGCAATTCGAAGTAGCATAGTCGGATAGACCTCTGGTGGGGGTGTTGGGAGGGTTTTCTTGGCCGCCTGTTCCAGGATGCTCAAGATGAGGCTGTGGGCCTCCTGGCACAGCTCAGCACCCAGGAAAGCCTCCACTCGTTCACGCCATGCTGCCAGTCGTGGCCGTCCCTTGAATAGTTCGTAGCCGACAGCCACCGGCTGCAGGAACAAGGATGAAAAGGTTGTGGGGATACAACTTTCCCAGTTGTCACTGCCAACCCGAATGCTGGAACCATAGGCAAATGTATCAGAGACATGGTCCATTCCCCAGCCCCGATAAATGGACCATGGAGGCCCAGGCAGTATGTTCAGCCTTAGAGGCCAAGAGCAGCTGGGGTGAGACCCCACACCCAGGCAGGAGGCAGAAGCTCAGGGTTCTGGCCCCAGATCATCCAGAGACTTGCTCTATGACTCCGGGCAAAGCCCTGGCTTTCTCCAGGCCTCAGTATTTCTGTCTGCCTCATGGGTGTGGCACGAAGAGGGACACTGCCCACAGGCTGAGCTCACACCTGCATCAGCTCCTCCAGCGCCATGAGATCAGCCAGCGTCACCTGCTGGCCAGCAAGGAAGAGCCTGTCCCCCAGGAACTTGTTCTCCAGCCATTGCAGGGCCTGGTCTATGGCAGTCCTGTTGCGTTCCACCTTCTCTTCGGGCACCTGGACCCCAATGAGTGGCCCCAACACCTGATGGGGGCAGAGAGTGGGTCAGTGGATGGCCCCTGCCTACTCCCAACTACTCTCTGAATGCCAACCACTCTCCAGATGGCTCTCCTCACCTGGACCCACATGGGTACACCAAAGGTGCCGCGGATGCAGTCAGCATGCCAACCCAGGTACTCATGAACACGGGCACGAGCCTGCAGGTCAGATGGATACCAGTGGTCCGCCGTCTGGTACTTACAGCTCAGGTAAATCAGGATGGCTGAGCTGGGAATGAATGGGCAGTGGCTGTAAGGACACTGGCACCAGGCCTTTACCCCCAGCTGCTCCCATCCGCCAGTGGGGCCTGGGGGTTTCTCTGCATTTGAAGGACTGCCCTCCAGCCTCACCCTCCATCTCCAGCTCCCCAACACCAACCCCTCCTCCCCCGAGTCTCCTCCTGTCTTTGTTTTCTTAGGCACCGACTCTTGGCTGGACCTTCTGCTTTGCACTTTGAGAACCTCATCTCTGTGATATCCCAGCAGCTGCCCTATGAGGTAGACTCCCATTAGCCCTTTAGCACAAGAGAAAACTCAAGGTCAGAATGGTCAAGTGACTTGTCTGAGGCAGTGCAGCTCAGAAAAGGCTCCCTGGACCACTGGAACCTAGCATGGGGCCGGCACACAGTGGATGCTCCGTGGAGTCACTTGCGTGCCCATGCGCATGGATCAGGGATCACGAGGGGAGGCAGGTCTTCGTTCGGCCCTCCTCTGACAGGTCCCGCAGCCATCACTTCTGCAGCCACCTGACCTCTTGTCCTCTTCCTGCCCAGCGGCTGGACCTCACCACGAGCTGTGCCCTCAGGCCATGGCACTGGCCTCTAGGCCTGGCCTGGGCAGATTGGGGTAGTCTTCCACAAGTCACTAGAGGCTCTTTTCAGCTTGCATTTGTTGAACCCACTCTGTGCAACACTGGAAAAATGTTCCCTTGTCTTCTCTTCCAATATCTTTCAGTCTGGGAGCAGAGAGGCCCTGGGGCTCAGATGACACCAAAGATGAGAGGTACGGGGACATGCTCTGTCAGCCCCTGCTCAACCCAGGCACACCCCAAGCTGTACCTTCTCCCCAGATCCCTCTGCTTTCCTCTCGCTGCCCCCTGGGGTATGGGAGGGCCCACAGTGGGGACAGCCAGGGTCACATGTGCTCCGGATGTGGGAGGGGAGAGGGAAAGAGGGCACCTTTCGGTCAAGATGAAATCACCATCCTTGAGCACAGGCACTTTCTGCAGGCTGTTGATCTGGAAGAACTCCTTGCTTCTGTGCTGCCCTGAAGAGTCAGACAAGGTCTTCAGAGTAAAAAAGCTGCACCTCTCCACCCTCCCTCTCCCTCCCCAAGCAGAGCTCCACACCCCTGAGAAACAGCAAGGTCTGGTTCCAGAGGGCTGGATCAACCCCATTCCCTGGGTGGGCCTCCCTGCCCTGCCACATTCTGGGGCAGCTGGGGGGCTTTGGTGGGTGGGGCCAGGTGCAGCAGGTGGATGCAGAGAAGTTTTCTAGCCAGGACTCTGGTGGGCCAGGGGAAGGGAGGCAAACTGGGGTGGCTCATCTCTTTCCATCTCTTAATTCTTACAACAGCACGTCCTTCCCAACGTTTTCTGGGCTTTGTGAATTTAAATGCGTGCGTTCCACGCAATTCTGAAAACTCCATTAAGTATTTTCTTTCCACCCCTACAGAACAAAGTAACATTATCCTCCTTTTCAGAAAGCAAGCTAAGGTTCAGAGAAGGCTGTGATCCCTCCAAGGTCACTCAATCGACAGCATTCTCTGGTGGCAGACGCTGCAGGAGGTGGTGAGGGGGCTGTGTGGGCGGCGAGACGCTCAGGGCGGAACAGGGCAAGGGGCCTGGGGGTGCACTGGATTTGTGGACACGCGGGGAAACGTGTTGGGCCCACCTTTGATAATATCCACAGTGCGCAGTTCGAAGGGAATGCCATTCTTCTTGGCGAAGATGTAGACGGCGCGGCTGGGCTGGGACAGCAGGTCCAGGTACAGTTCTAGGCCCATGGCGGGGGCTGCAAAGACAGCGGGGATGGCAGTGAACGCGCTGATGGCGGTGTGGGCAGCGGCTGTGGCAGGCTCACGGTGGCCGCGGGAAATAGGCTCAGTCCCCACTCCCTGGGACAGCACCCAATTGGAGCGCAGCACCCGCGGACCCGCCTCGCCCCTTCGGTTTCTGTCCAATCCTGGCCAGCCTTGTTGGAGACCAAGACTCCACCACCAGGTCCGTGTGCCGCTACAGGGAGGGCGGTCGCTATGAATGCACAGCTGGGAGGGTGGAGTTGGAGCTGGGGGCCCTCGACTGGCAGGGAGGACGGCGGATGCAGGGGGCCGACTGCAAGGGGAAGAGGAACGAGCTGGACAAGGATGAGCAGGTCTGCTTTTTGTGATCCCGGTGCCAGGGACCCTGCCTGGTTCCAGGCGTCATCCCGACCCAGAAACGACTGGGCCCCGCCATCCTGGAAAGGCCCCAGCGCACGGACATCTGATGGTTCTTTCGGAGCTTTGTTTCTCGGCGCTGCAAGGCGGCGGAAGGGAGAGAGCGAATGGGATCCTCTAAAAGGGATCTTAGAGTTTCACCCAGCGGCATGTGACACTTGCAGGTGTCCCAGACTGGTGGGAACCTTGACTGGAAGGCTGGGGTTAAGGATGAACTTTCTACCGTCCAGACTGTCCCCTGCAGAGCAGCTGCTGCCAGACAGCAGGAGCTCCCGCTTCGTGCACAGGATGGGGCTGGGACCCCGCAGCCACAGGGGGCAGGAATGACTGCGCAGGAACCTCCTTTCTTCTCCCTGAATCCCAGCCCTGGCATCTCACCACGGGGCACAGTGATGGTCCAGGGCTGGGCCCGGGACTCTAGCTGAATCTTTCAGAGTATCCCATCCCTCTGGCCAGTGGCCCAAGCGAGTGAACCAGAACGCTTCCTTGGGGGTTTTGAAATTGGAACTGGAGAGAGGAGCTCCCTATGGGGAGGTAAATGGGAGCTGGGGCCACCTGTAGTGACATTTCCTGAGTTCATGGAGTAGACGAGTCTCAGAGAGAAAAGCTGACTCAGAGAAAGGGAGTGATAGCCGGGAGGGGTGGCCCACACATGCAATCCCAGCTACTCTCATGGGATCTGTTTGTCTGATGTCTCGGTATGAAAGGACTTTCTAAGCCTCAGAACAGTGGAAGAACTGAACAAAGGAAAAAACTAATACATATACAAGGAGATTTTGTGGAAGAAAAAAAATGGATCAAACTTAAGCAAAAAACTGGGAAGGATCTTGGTAAAAGATATGTCAGAAGGAAGTAATATTCTTTAAGATATTCTTAGAAATTCATCGGACAGGCGGGGTGTGGTGGTTCACGCCCATAATCCCTGTACTTTGGGAGGCAGAGGTGGGTGGATCACTTGAGGTCGGGAGTTTGAGACCAGCCTGGGCAACAAGGTGAAACCCCGTCTCTACTAAAAATACAAAAATTAGCCGGGTGTGGTGGCACACTCGGGAGGCTGAGGCAGGAGAATCACCTGAACCTTGGAGACATAGGTTGCAGTGAGCTGAGATCATACCACTCCACTCCAGCCAGGCCACTGAGTGAGACTGTCTCGAAACAAACAAACGAACAAACAAAAAGAAGAGAAACTCATCAGACAAAGAGAGGGAAAAAATGAGCAAAGGAAATCAGCAGAGGTTTCATTGAAGGACAGAGAGAAATGGTCAATACATGGATGAAAACATGTTTAACTTCAGTAATAATCAAGTAAGCACATACCAACACAACATGCACACTGTTTTTATCAAATGTGTACATGTTTTGGAAATGAGTACTCCCAATTAATATGTACAGAGCACTTCGCAGTGCCCAGCACAGGGGTGGCACCCTGTGTGTGAGAATGAAATAGGTAGACTCGTGCCCTGCTGAAAGTAAGGGACTGCCTCTCTGGAGGATCCCTTGGGTAATAAGGAGGTTTTCACACCTTCACTGTGTCTGTCTTGGGGCCTGGGAGCAGAGCCCCCTCCAGCTGGTGGGGAAGGGAGCATGGTGTGTTTGAGGACAGAATGGAGAGAAGTTGAGTAGAGTAAGTGTAGACTCTTCCTACCTGAAGTGTGGTCCATGGACCAGGAGTATCAGCATCACCAGGGAGCTTGTTGGAAATACGGAGGCTCAGGCTCCACTCTGACTTTACTGATTGGGAGCATAAACTTTAACCAGATTCCAGGGGGGATTCATATACACATTCCCATTTGATAAGTGGGGGGTAGTAGGAGGTGAGAAGTGGGGAGGGGATGGCTACTGCACTGGAGAAGGCTGCCTTTGTGTTGAGGCCATTTTCATGAGGGCAGTGGGGAGCCATGGAAGGCTTTATGCAAGGAAGGGTATGGGCAGATTGAGATTACAGAAGGATCCCACTAGTTGCCTTGTGTGATGACCCAGGGAGAAGGGGAGGCTGTCCCTGTGCGAGTAGGAGATGAGGGCTACTAGTGGCCATTAGTGGAAAGAAGTGAGCAGAAATCCAAAGGACTGGTGATAGGATGAGGGTGGGAACCAGGATGGGCTTTGGGCAGACCCAGAACCCTCTGTCTGCCTGTTGGCCCACCAGATAATAGTCCCTGTGTTCCTGGGCGAGTCAGTGCCACCTGAGGTGTTGGCAGCCACTTTGGCTGAGCTGGATGGGTGCCTGCAGCTGCTTGAGGACAAGTTCCTGTGGGACCAGGCCTTCCTTACTGGGTCCCATATCTCTGTGGCTGACTTGGTGGCAATCATGGAGCTGATGCATGTGAGTGCCATGGGGTAGGGTGCCTGCTGGGCAGTGGGGTATCCGGGAAGGGAACTGACATCCCAGCTCAGGTTGTCTTTTCTGGATGTGGGACCCTGTGTGAGTCACTTCTCCTTCTGAGCCTCAGTATCCTCATCTATAAAATTGGGCTTTACAAACCCTCGTCGCAGATATATTAAGAGGCTTCCAAGTGTCCCTAGGGAGGGGGACACCCCAGCCCATCACACACATGGCGGAGGAGGGAAAATCCAATCAGAGAACCCCTAAAGCAGGTCATGCTGCCTTACGCCTGGCTATGCCCAGCCCCTCCGCTGACTCTGTCTTCCCCTAGCCCATCAGCGCTGACTGCTGAGTCTTTGAAAGCAGACCCACAATGGCAGCATGGCGCCCAATGTGTGGAGACTGCAGTGGGGGAGGACCTCTTCCAGGAGGCCCTCGCAGCTGTCCTGAAGGCCAAAGACCTGCCTCCAGTAGAACCTGCTGTTAAAGAGAATCTGAAGCCCTTAATGCAGCTTTTCTTACTGTGAGTGTGTGTCCCGGACTTGCTGAGCCACTGAGGCGATGCTGTGTTAGTAGAATCAAGACATGGAGCCGTCTGTCTCCTTGGTTGTAAAGAAGACATATCTGCACAGGCTGTGGTCCACAGTTCCTCCAGGTATCATGCCTGCATTCCTTTTGTCTCCTACCCCATTCCTTTCTAGCTTCCATGCGACCTCTGAAAACAGATTTGGCCAACACTTATTTGACCCTGTCCTTCTGTGTGGAACTTTCTATGGTTCTTCACTGCCCAGAGGCTCAAGTACAAGTCATTGAACTTTGCATTCAAGGCCTTGTTCCCACTCCTCCAGGTGGCCCCTTCTGCCTGCACATTTTTATACCCCTCTCTGGGCTCCCACCTTGGCTTCTGCTCATGCTGTTCCCTCATCTTTGCCTGGTGCCCTTCCTGGTCTTTTGGCATTTGGCACCGTCTCTTCTCCAGGGAGACTTCCCTGACCTCCCCAACCCCAGTTCAGGTCAGATGACCTCTCTGGGCACCTCAGCCCCAGGGTTTCCTTGTGGGGGATACCCCTGGACTGAGCATGTATCATAGATGAGGGGTGACCTGGTGAAAAGATGTCTGAATCAGGATCAGCCTTGGTCTCCTAGGTCTCTCTCCTCACTGTAGGGCGATGTGTCCCACAAGTGGGGTGCAGGGCTGGTTCGTGGACCTCCTTGCAGGAAGGGAAGTCCCTGGCGATTTCCTGGCCCTCTCTCATGCCTCCTCATCACCTTGACCACAGTCTTCTCTACACCCCACTCCCTGACCACTGGCTTGTCCATGCCCCACACCTGGTCCCAGACTTGCCACCTGTCCCTGCCCTCTCCCCCTTAGGACTGTCATATTTACCTGTCGTGTGTCTCAGACTTTCTGATATCTGAGTCATCTAATAAACTGCTAATAGGACAAGATCATGACAGAGACTCTGTCGGCCTTTCAGTGGAGGCTCCTTTGAGTATGCACACTTATAATTTTATACATGTAGCTGAAATTGTACATATAAACCTACACATTTTTCTTTTTTGTGGGGGAGGGGGGAGCCTGGGTCTCACTCTGTCATCGAGGGTGGAGTGCAGTGGCAGTCATAGCTCACTGCAGCCTAGATCTCCTGGGCTCACTCAGCCACCCAAGTAGCTAGGGCTGCAGGCATACACCACAGCACCCAGATTTTTTTTTTGTAGAAAATAAGAGAATCTTGCTATGTTGCCTAGCCTGATCTTGAACTCCTGGGCTCAGGCAATCCCCCCTTCTTAGCCTCCCAAAGTGCGGAGATTACAGGTGTGAGCCACCTTGCTTGGCCACAACTACAATCACATTTGAAATGTACAATCCAAGTGATTTTACCACACTGACTACAGACTCCTGTTTAAGCCACACCAACAGAGTTCCATGTTTTTTTGTTTTTGTTTTTTTGAGATGGAGTGTTGCTGTTGCCCAGGCTGGAGTGCAACGGCATGATCTCGGCTCACTGCAACCTCTGCCTCCCTGGTTCAAGCGATTCTCCTGCCTCAGCCTCCCGAGTAGTTGGGATTACAGCGTCATGCCTGCCACCATGCCTGGCTACTTTTTGTATCTTTAGTAGAGACGGGGTTTCGCCATGTGGGCCAGGCTGGTGTCGAACTCCTGACCTCAGGTGATCTGCCTGCCTCGACCTCGCAAAGTGCTGGGATTACAGGCGTGAGCTACCGCGCCCGGCCTTTCCATGTTTTAAATAACATATTTTGCCACCCCTGGTGGACAGTGGCTCACCACCGGCACAAGAGGCTACACAGGCAGATGTCAATGGGGACATGGAATGGTGGGGACAGGGAATGTCGTGAGCCCAAGGGCCCTGGCCAGCCCTACCCGCGCCTGCAGGTGTAACCACATCTCCCGACTGCCCAAGCGCAGATTTTCATACTTTAACATGAAATTGCCTAACTTCGAAATGGTGGCAAATCATTCAAAAAAAAATTTTTTTTTTTTTTTTGACGGAGTCTCACTCTGTCGCCCAGGCTGGAGTGCAGTGGCGCGATCTCGGCTCACTGCAAGCTCTGCCTCCCGGGTTCACCGCCATTCTCCTGCCTCAGCCTCCCAAGTAGCTGGGACTACAGGCGCCCGCCACCACGCCCGGCTACTTTTTTGTATTTTTAGTAGAGATGGGGTTTCACCGTGTTAGCCAAGATGGTCTCCATCTCCTGACCTCATGATCCGCCCACCTCGACCTCCCAAAGTGCTGGGATTACAGGCGTGAGCCACCGCGCCCGGCCTCAAAAAATTTTTAAGCTCCCGTTGCATTGGTTATTAGGGTCGAGCCTGGGGAAAACCACTATAGGTGTGTGTGTCTGTGTGTGTTGGGAGTGTTGAGACCTCAGTACTAGGAACCAGGCGACCACAGCGCGGAAAACTTGAGGGAAATCCACCTGGCGCCAGACAAGAGAGTTGGGGGAGAGACAGGGTAGGACCACTACAACGTTAAAGACTTGTAGTGGGTGGGGCTATACCTAGAGCGGTGGCGACGAGACTTCCGGAAATCAGAGCCGGCACAGGTGACTTCTGTTTGCAGAAGCGGGATGTACCCTAGGCAGCCAATCGGGGAGCGCTGTCTCTGTCCAGCCAATGAAAAGTCAGATTGCTGTGGCGCCTTGCCCCTCCTCCCTGGTCCCCGAGCCTTGGGTACCCTCCGCTTTTTTTTCCCTGGAGCAGTTTTCCTTCCTCTGCCCGCCATGCCGTTCGTAGAGCTGGACACGAATTTGCCCGCCAACCGAGTGCCCGCGGGGCTGGAGAAACGACTCTGCGCCGCCGCTGCCTCCATCCTGGGCAAGCCTGCGGACGTGAGCGTGGGCCGGGCAGCACTGGGCGAGGGGAGGTTGGTGGGCCAGGGGTCCGGCCCAGTCCCTGCTCTGCCTCCCTGACAGTGACACCGAATCTTTCCCCCAGGGACCACTCCCTCCTTTCTCCACACCAAGCTCCGACTTTCCGTGCTCCACGATCCCGCGGCTCCCCCTCCGCACGTCTTGCCCTTATTGCCCTCCCCAGTCATGACCTGGACATGACCCTCAGGTCCATTCCTATCCCCGCGAACACTGGCGCGTTTCCGCTTTCGCGCGCTCGGGTCGGGTCCCCAGAGGTAGCCCGGCCGGCCTCAGCTTCGGGTAAAACTTTTCATGTCCCCCTCAGCGTATGAACGTGACGGTGCGGCCAGGCCTGACTATGGCGCTGAGCGGGTCCACCGAGCCCTGCGCGCAGCTGTCCGTCTCCTCCATCGGGGTAGTTGGCACCGCCGAGGACAACCGCAGCCACAGCGCCCACTTCTTTGAGTTTCTCACCAAGGAGCTAGCCCTGGGCCAGGACCGGTACGTAGGGCTACTCGGGGATCCATTTGGGACTGCGGCAGACTGGAGCCAGTGATCCTGCCTCAAGGGGAAAAACCCATTTCTTGCCCTGCCCAGTAAGGACACATCAGGGTATGGGGCCCTGGGGCCCCCTGACCCCTCAGGTTCCTGGTAGGACCATCTTCAAAGTGTGAGCAGGATTGAATGAATTTCTGGCTCTGCTCCTCAGTGTGTAAGTCTGTGAACCGGGAAGGCTCTCTTTCAGCACTCCCAGGGGCAATGCAAGGGTCATGTGGGATTGTCTGTGTGCTGTACCTGCCTTGGCACCTGGCAGGGTACAGACGCCTTGGCTGAAGTGTGATTTTCTAGAACTTTTCCAGCCTGGTCAGAAGGAATTCTGGGTATGTTCTGAAGCTATCTTTTGGACCTTTGTCCCAACCAGGTTCCAGGTGAGGTTCAGGGGAGGCTCACAGAGTAGTTGTAGAGCATTGGCCTGGATGTTTAGATATCTGCTTTCTGGGTCCTGCATAAGCTTGGGGACCCCAAACTTGGAAATGAACCATCTCCACTTGGCAACCTCCTCTTCTGTGAAAACAAGGGAAATGACCTCCCTCCCCCACAAGAAGCCTCTACAACCCAAACCTGGCGTTCTGTGACCGAGTTAAAGTTTCTTGTTGGGTAAAAGATAATCTTGAGCCACATCCATGCCTATGAGGAAATAAGGGCATGAGAAGCTTGAAAGGACACTGTCCAGGCACGGTGGCTCATGCCTGTAGTCCCAGCAAGGGACTGCTGGGAGACCAAGGTGGGAGGTTCACTTGACCCAGGAGTTGGAGACCAGTCTGGGTAACATAGTGAGATGCCATCCCCCAAAACAATTTTAAAAATTAAAATTAACCAGACATGGTGGTGTGCCCCTGTAGTCTCAGTTGGCAAGCTACGGTGGGAGGATGGCTTCAGCCCAGGTGGTTGAGGCCGCAGTGAGCTGATTGTGCTATTGCACCCCAGCCTGGGTGGCAGTGAGACCGTGTCTCAGAAAAAAAGACCTTCTGAAATGGAGTCTTTGTTAGTCCATGAAGGCCAATGGGGAATGGCTGATCCTGCTGGGTCCTCCCTCAAGCTACAGAGGAATCATACAGTCAGCCCCCTGTATCACTGGGTTCCGCATCTGTTGGTTCCGCAACAGATGATAATCACTGAATTATCATCTGTTGTTTGATGGATTGAAATATCAGAGGAAAAAATTCGTAATTGCATCTATACTGAAAATATGTATAGACTTTTTTCCTTGTCATTATTCCCTAAACAATACAATTTACGTAGTATGTACATTATATTAGGTATTATTAAGTAACCCAGAAATTTAAAGTGAGAGGGTGTGTGTAGGTTATATGCAAATACACCATTTTGAACAAATGTAGATTTTGGTTTCCTCTGGGGATCCTAGAACAAATCTCCCATAGATACTGAGGGAAAACTGTTATTCTAACAAGTATTATACAAATGCTTACCATGTGCTAGGTACTCTACAGGTACTGTACACTCATGATCCCATTTGATCCTTACAATCCCTGTCCACTCTCCCTTTGCTCAGACAAGGCATGCTATCCCCATGAGGTATGCCAAGTTTATAAGAACACTGAGGCTGTTCATACTTCTGCCCCCGGAAGCCAGGCTATCCCAAGCTCTGGTGCTCCTCACTGGAAACTTGCTGTTACCTCTGAGAGGAGCATGTTCACTTATGGCACAGACATTAGTGGTGGGGGTTGGCGGGGCTGGGGGTGGGGTGGTCACCCTGTGCTCAGCCTTTGAGAAAACAGGTGGCTGAGGTACTGTGCCCTTAGGGAGCCTGCAATTAGGAGGAGGCAGGGTGCCCCTCAGTCCACAAACTGATGGAGATGATAGAGTATATGGCACAGATGCCGAAGGTACTTTATTGTGTATCTGTCCTAGTTGGGTCATGCTGATGTGCAGCCACCATCCCACACCTGAGTGTCCCACTGCCCTGCTGGGGGTTGGGGAAAGATCATTACTGGGATGAGCAGGTTTGCAAAATGCCTGGTGGACTGCGGCTGGGATGAGCAGGTTTGCAAAATGCCTGGTGGACTGCGGCAGGCTGTCCTGAGTACCCACAGTGGGAGTACCTGGCAGGGGTCTTGCAAGATGTGGTGTTAGTCAAGGAGCTGATGATATCTTTTTCTGTCTCCTGAAGGATACTTATCCGCTTTTTCCCCCTGGAGTCGTGGCAGATTGGCAAGATAGGGACGGTCGTGACATTTTTATGATTGGCACGGAGGGATCCGGGGCATCTGTGAGCTGGCTGCTTCTTCCAGAGAGATCTCCTGGCAGAGTGAGGGCCTAGTGATAACCAGCTTTGGATTATGCCACATGCAACATTCCTGTGATCACATAATCCTCTTCATCCTCATATGAAATAAAGGAGAGCTTTCTCGTTCAAACATGACTTCTTACCTTGTATTATCCCTCCTGGGCATCTTGGGCCACCATGGGTAGCAGGGCTGGGGGATAAGCCCATAGGGAACCTGGAGGGGGATGATTTCCATCTTCAGGGCTACTGTTCGGTATGTTTAAGACTGCTCAGATCTGGGGGTGGAAGCCTCAGCCTGGAGGCTCTGCTCTCCACACCCATCTGCAGGCCTGTGGGAAGGTGTGAGCAGTTGGTCCAGCTGGGGCCCTTCCTGCAGACTGCTGACCTGAGGCTTCTGTACTCCTGAAGCCTACTCCCTCCACACCTGGCTGGGCAGCCTGCCACGCCCGTCTCCCTGCCTCTGTAGAGTGGAGGCAGGGTTTTGCCTGTGTCCCTTTGGGGGTTACTCACTGGTTTTCCAAAAGCAGGGTCCCCAGTCTGCTTCTCCATAGGGTTGCAAGCCTTGTCTCCCTCCCTTTGGCAAGACTCCAACCCTCCTCCCAGCCGCCCCATTGCCCCTTCCTGGCAGTAGCACCAGCTTTCACAACAACCTTTCCAGCCCAGGGGCCCCCAGGCCGGGAGGATGGCTGGGGGGACACATGGCAGGCCTATAAGGTTTCCTGTGTCTTCTCTCCTGTCACAACGGTGCCACCTGCACACTTAACTGTTGGACACACAACCACACATTCACCCACATCTAGTCACGATTCATCAGTCACACACATACACCCACATGTACAATCATACCATTTACACACATATACACCCAATCACACGATTCACATCCAACAAAGTCACACAACTCAAATTCACACAGACCAAACCCCCACACACGTGCACCCACATACACAATCAACCATTCACTGACATTGTCATCACACAGTTCACTCACATATACCCCCTCACACACATGCACACAATTCAACAAAATCACACAATTCACTCATTCACACACATACCCACATAAAAATTCACACTGTTCACATTTACGCACAATTCACTAAAATTCACACATATATACACCCATGTACACACAGTTCACTCGCATCACACACATATACACCCACACGTAAACAGTCACACAATTCACTCACGTTCAGTCACCGACATTCACACACATACACACGCACCACACACAGGCAATTCAGTCACATGGCCAAAAGCCAGTCTTCACCTTGCTACAGTTCCCAGTGTCGCCTCAACCTTTGCAACAGCGTCCCCTTCCCATGCCTGGACAGCTGGAGAGCCCTGAACACACCCCATCTTCATGCCTCCAGCGCTAGCCCAAGCCCTTCCCTCTGCCAAGAGCACTAAGTGGAACTCAAGGTCACTTCTCAGGACCCTTCCCTGCCCCTCCTCCTGCCAGGTGACCTGAGGATCCTGCTGGCCCTGCTTAACAATGATGCACAGCATGGTTAGCTCAGCTGATGTCGCTCTCCCGGACTTACTGCTGCCTACACAGCACTGGGACTGACTTTAACTTTACTGTTTATTTCATGTATTTTATTGGAGCGTCTCTTGAAAGCAAAACCATGCAATTAGGAAATCCAAAGGCAGCCAGCATGGAGCAAGTGCAGAGTGCAGTGGCGCAAACTCAACTTACTGCAGCCTCAACCTCCTGGGCCTAAACAATCCTGCCTCAGCTTCCCATGTAGTTTGGATCACAGGCGCATGCCACCATGCTGGGCTAATCTTATGACTTTGTAGAGATGGGGGTCGCACTTTGTTTCCCAGGGTGGTCTTGAATTCCTAGGCTCAAGTGATCCTCCCACCTCAGCCCATTTTGCAAAGCTGCTCATCCCGGTAATGATCTTCCCCCAACTCCCACCAGGGCAGTGGGACACTCGGGTGTCAGATGGTGGCTGCACATCAGCATGACCCACCTAGGACAGACACTCAACATCAACACAGTAGCCTCAGTGTGTGCGCTGTACACTCCCTCATCTCTATCAGTTTGTGGGCTGAAGGGCAACCTGCCGCCTCCTAATTGCAGGCTCCCTAAGGGCATAGTGCCTCAGCCACCTGTTTTCTCAAAGGCTGGGCACAGAGTGACCCCACCACCACTAATGTCTGTACCATAACTGAACTTTACCCCTGTTCTATAAAGATGTTATGCCCCAAAAATGAAGTGGAGGGCCATACCCTGAGGGAGGGAATGGATCTCCAGGGCTGGAATAGTGACACCTTTTGTCCTCACTTACATGAATAGGAAGGATACAATTGCTGAGACTCCCCATATCCTAGCTTCAGGAATAGCTTTTGTTAGGCCTGTTAGTCTGAGGGACCCTAAAATTCCAGATAGTCCCCCCACAACAGGGATTTGGGCAAAAATTATGTCTTTTTGATTGGTGAGCCCAGGTGCCTAAAGAAGGTAACAGAGTCCTGGAGTTCACACTAGAGGTCATTCTTATAGGAGAAACTAGAAAAGCACCAGAGACAGGGAGCGGTTTTTAGAAGCAGGACCAACCTCAGAGAAGAGAGGCGAGAAGAGGTTTGTCTGGCAGGCATTAGGACCCAGGGGGGCAAGGATTAGGCTAGATAGAATAGATGGGCGAGTCTCAAGTCTCGCTTGGGTGACAGGCTTTTGAGAGTTCCACTCATGGCCACAGGCTCAACCAACTTGTCGGGATCCCAGAGCCGCGTGGCCTTCCTCTCAGTCGACCCTGGGCTCAGCCCAGTAGTACAGGAAAAGCGGAAGCTGCTTCGAGGCAAACCAACCCTTCCAACTCCGAAGACTCGGGGGTTGTTAGAGAGCCCTTTCTCAGAAAGCCTGACACTCGTATCTTGAGTCCGGTGGCTGCACTAGTTGCTTTTAACTGGCCGAGAGGTGCCCAGTATTTAGCCCCCAGATTCTAAGGAAAAATAGGACAGAATAGCAAGCAAAAGGTGTCCGTTGGTTCTCACCACTTGGCGATAGTTGATGTCCCACTGCTCGGCGATAGCTGATAGTCCCTTTGTGGTCGCCAAAATGTGTCCGGAATGGGTGGGTTCTTGGTCTCACTGACTTCAAGAATGAAGCCCCAAACCGTCGTCATGAGTGTTACAGTTTTTAAAGATGGTAATGTCCAGAGTTTGTTCCTTCAGACGTTCAGATGTGCCTGGAGCTTTTTCCTTCTGGTGGGTTGGTAGTCTCCCCGTCAGGAGTGAAGCTGTAGGCCTATCATGGTGAGTGTTACAGCTCTAAAAGGCAGCGCGTCTGGAGTTGTTGGTTCTTCCCTGTAGGCTTAGTGGTCTCGCTGGCGTCAGGAGTGAAGCTGCAGACCTTCGCGGTGAGTGTTACAGCTCATAACAGCAGTGTGGACCCAAAGAGTGATCAGCAACAATATTTCTAACAAAAAACAAAGCTTCCACAGCGTAGAAGGGAACCCAAACAAGTTGCAGCTGACTGGCTCGGGCAGCCTGCTTTTATTCCCTTATCTGGCCCCACCCACATCCTGCTGATTGGTCCATTTTACAGAGAGCTGATTGGTCCATTTTGACAGAGTGCTGATTGGTGCGTTTACAATCCTTGAGCTAGTCAGAGAGTCACAGCGTGCTAGTCCTCCAAGTCTCCACTAGGTTAGCCAGATACAGAGTACCAATTGGTGTATTCACAAACCCTGAGCTAGACACAGAGTGCTGATTGGTGTATTTACAAACCCTGAGTTAGACAGAGTGCTGATTGGTGTATTCACAAACCCTGAGCTAGACAGAGTGCTGATTGGTGTATTTACAAACCCTGAGCTAGACACAGAGTGCTGATTGGTGTATTTACAAACCCTGAGCTAGACACAGAGTGCTGATTGGTGTATTTACAATCCTCTGGCTAGATATAAAAGTTCCCCAAGTCCCCATCCAGTTCAGGAGCCCAGCTGGCTTCACCCAGTGGATCCTGCACCAGGGCTCATGTGGAGCCGCCAGTCAGTCCCGAGCGGCGCCTGCATTCCTCAGCCTTTGGGCTGGCCATGGGACCGGCACCACGGAGGAGGGGACGGTGCCCCTCCGGGAAGCTCAGGCAGCGCGGGAGCTTACCGCAGGTGGGGAGCTCAGACATGGCGGGCTGCAGGTCCCCAGCCCTGCCCTGCCCGGAAGGAGGTAAGGCCCCCGCGAGAATTTGAGTGCGGCGCCGGCGGGCCGGCACTGCTGGGGGATCCGGTGCAACCTCCGCAGCTGCTGGCCCGGGTGCTATAGCCCCTCACTGCCCTGGGCCGGCGGTGTGCGGGGCCCGCCGATCCCGCGCCCACCGGAATTCACACAGGCCAGCGAGCGCAGCCCCGGTTCCCACCCGCGCCTCTCCCTCCACACCTCCCCACAAGCAGAGGGAGGCAGCTTCGGCCTCAGCTAGCCCAGAGAGGGGCTTCCACAGTGCCGTGGCGGGCTGAAGGGCTCTTCAGGCGCCACCAGAATGGGCGCCGAGGCCGAGGAGGCGCTGAGCACAGTCCTACCATCAGGAACCTGAGGGGACAGGGGGCCCCAGGGCCCCAGACCCTGATGTGTTCTTACTGGGCAGGGCAATAAATGGGTTTTTCCCCCTGAGGCAGGATCACTGGCTCCAGTCTGCGGCAGTCCCAAATGGATCCTCTACTACCCTACGCACCAGTCCTGGCCCAGGGCTAGCTCCTTGGTGAGAAACTCAAAGAAGTGGGCGCTGTGGCTGCGGTTGTCCTCAGCACTACGCAGATGGAGGAGACGGACGGCTGCGCGCAGGGCTCGGTGGACCCGCTCAGTGCCACGGCCAGGCCTGTACGCACTGTCACTTTCACGCGCTGAAGGGGACATGAAAAGTTTTACCTGAAGCTGGGGCCGGCAGGGCTACCTCTAGGGGACCCGACCCGAGCGCGGGAAAGCCGAAACGCGCAGTGTTCGTGGGGACAGGGATCCTAGTACAGGTCGAGGCCCCTGAAGGTCACGTCCGGCTCATGACTGGGGAGGGCGATAAGGGAAAGACCTGCGGAGGGGGAGCCGCGGGATCCTGGAGCACAGAAAGTCAGAACTTGGCGTGCGGAAAGGAGGGGGGAGTGGTCCATGGGGAAAAGGGTCGGGGTCGCTGTAGGGGAGGCGGAGCAGGGACAGGGCTGGACCCCTGGCCCACCAACCTCCCCTCGCCCTGTGCTGCCTGGCCCACGCTCACGTCCGCAGGTTTGCCCAGGATAGAGGTAGCGGCGGCACAGAGTCGTTTCTCCAGCCCTGCGGGCACTCGGTTGTTGGGCAAATTCCTGTCCAGCTCTAGGAAAGGTATAGCAGGCAGAGAAAGAAAAACAGCTCTGGGAGAGAAGCAGCTCTGGGTACCCGAGGCTCGCGGACCAGGGAGGAGGGGCGAGGCACCACAGCAACCTGGCTTCTCATTGGCTGGACAGAGACTCAGCGCTTCCCGATTGGCTGCCTAGAGTACATCCCGCTTCCGCAAACAAAAGTCACGTGTGCCGGCTCTGTTTTCCAAAAGTCCCATCGCCCCAATCCTATGTGTAGCCCCACTGACTACCAGTCTTTAACCGCGTGGTGGCTACACCCTGTCGCTTCCCCGACCCTCTTGCCTGGCACCGGGTGGATTTCCCTTAAGCTTTCCGCGCTGTGGTCGCCTGGTTCCTAGCTCTGTTAAAGGTCTGAACACCCCTAACGCACAGACACACACACACACTCCTATAGGAGTCTTCCCCAAGTTCGACCCTAATAAACAATGCAACGGAAGTTTAAATTTTTTTTGAATGATTTGCCACCATTTCGAAGTCAGGCAATTTTATGTTCAGTATGAAAATCTACGCTTCTCTTGGGGCAGTCAGGAGATGTGGTTACATGTGAGGGCGCAAGTAGGGCTGGGCAGGGACCCTTGGGTTCACAACATTCCCTGTCCCTGCCTAGTCCCCACTGACAGCTGCCTGTGTAGCCTCTTGTGCCGATGGTGAGCCACTGTTCACCAGGGGTTGGCAAAATATGTTATTTAAAACATGGAAATCTGTTGGTGTGGCTTAAACACAAGTCTGTGATTAGTGTGGCAAAATCACTTGAATTGTACATTTTAAATATGATTGAAATTGTGGTCAGGCAGAGTGGCTGACACCTGTAATCTCAGCACTTTGGGAGGCCAAGAAGGGAGGATTGCTTGAGTCCAGGAGTACAAGACCAGGCTAGGCAACATAGCAAGATTCCCTTCTTTATTTTCTACAGAAAAAAAAAGGAATCCTGGTGTTGTGGTGTGCGCTTGTAGTTCTAGCTACCTGTGCGGCTGAGGCAGGAGGGTTGCTTGAGCCCAGGAGATCTAGGCTACAGTGAACTATGACTCATTTTTTTCCCTGTCTCTTTGTCTGATGGGTTTCTCTTATTTTTCTTTCTTTGTTTATTTCTGAGACAGTCTCGCTCTGACTGGAGCTTGAGTGCAGTGGTATGGTCTCAGCTCACTGCAGCCTCCACCTTCCAGGTTCAAGTGATTCTCCTGTCTCAGCCTCCTGAGTGTGCTACCATACCTGACTAATTTTTGTATTTTTAATATAGATGGGGTTTCACCGTGTTGCCCGGGACTGGTCTCAAACTCCCGACCTCAAGTGATCTGCACACCTTGGCCTCCCAAAATGCTGGGATTACAAGGGTGAGCCACCACGCCAGGCCTGTCTTACGGGTTTCTAAGAGCATCCTAAAGAACATTACTTCCTTCTGACATATCTTTTACCAAGATCCCTCCCAGTTTTTTGCTTGTTTTATGTTTAATCAATTTTTTCTTACACAAGATGTCCCTGTATATGTTTTTTTGTTTGTTTGTTTTGTTTTGTTTTTGAGACAGAGTTTTGTTCTTGTTGTCCAGGCTGGAGTACAATAGCGTGATCTCAGCTCACTGTAATCTCCGCCTCCCGGGTTCAAGCAATTCTCCTGACTCAGCCTCCTGAGTAGCTGGGATTACAGGCATACTGGCGCAACCACACCCGACTAATTTTGTAGTTTTAGTAGAGATGGGGTTTCTCCATGTTGGTCAGGCTGGTCTCGAACTCCCAACCTCAGGTGATCCACCACCACCCCCGCCCGCCTCCCA